ATTTCGATATTTGTTTTGAACTGATTAATCATCCGTAAACTTGACTTTTACACTTGCCGATCAGTATTTTGATTAGTTTTGCTCGTAAAACTTATCGGTAATTCTGTCTCTCTAGGCAATCGAAGAAAACTCTTGTGTCCAAGCATTACCTTGTCAACAAGGCAGCGATTTCATGGTAAGTTCACTCATTGAATGTAGATATATCCGCTGTTAGCCTTCGTTTTATTATGACTTTAGTAAATTTGTATTTCGATATTTGTTTTGAACTGATTTATCATCCGTAAACTTGACTTTTACACTTGCCGAATCCTTTCTTTTTTAACCTGAAGTTCTATTTTCTTCTGGAAAGATAGTCAATATGACACGCGTTGAAAATGTTTTTTTTATTCTTATAAACTGTTAATCGATCGCCCGTTAACTCGATAACAAGGCGCTCGCGATCGCCGAATCCTTATTTTTTTAATCTGAAGATAAGTTATGAAAATATTCACGTTCTCACAAGACACAAGAGCTTGAAACCTCCAATTTTCAATCATTTTGCCTTCAAAAAAGCCTGTAAACCGCTTGAACATACTTTGAGAAATGTTTGTTATTCAAGTTCAAGCTATTCGTTCAATGGTTATTGTTCTGAGCATAACTTTAATGAAGTTTTGAAATAGTTATTCAAGTGAAATTCAAATCAATATTTTCGATAATAGTTTTCGTTCTTAATAGCACCCACCTGAGTTGAAGTGTTCCATTTGCCACAACGAATTTGGTTTGGAAAAGAACCTTAAACGACATGTTTTGGAAAAACATACCAACCAACGTTTTGAGTGTCTGAACTGTGGAAAAACCTTTGGACGTAAGGACAATCTCAAGCGTCACGAAAAAACATGTAACGGTGGCACCTCCAAGCGAAAGTGTGAAAATTCGACCTCTTCGGTCTCGAAAAAAGTGAAAACGGATGAACAAACCATTGCCTTCGAGGTAATTTGACTTTTGAGTCGTGATAGTGCCATGTAAACAAGTGTGAACTTATGGAATGGATTGGAACTGGAAACGGGATCACGCGGAATCAATTTCTTTTTATTCATTTTTTCAGTTAGACAACATTCCCGAAGAGATGTTGCAACCCTACGATGGAGAATGGTTAAATGGGGAAAATCTTGAGGTAAATAACAATGAAAAATGAGAATGAAAAGGGAAGTAAAATAAAACCGTAGAAAATGTAAAAATATAATGACAATGAAAAAGAAAGTAAGTTAAAACAATAAAATATATGAAAATCAGAATAGGAATGAAAATAAGAATACACAGGGAACCCACTCTTTGTCTATTTGCCTTTTAGGATCCACAGGAAGGTGGCGGCCAACGATCCAATGGGGAGGGAGAAGAAGGCGACGTGCAGGAAGAGTGCGCTCTTGGCCAAAACGCCACTACTCACAGATATAAACCCAATAAAAACCAAAAAATGGATCTTCTCCTAACCTTGGAAGGCAAAAAGAAACAAATAATTAAAAAAATTAAACAACAACTTGAAAAACACCGTGGCGTCAAATGGTTTCTTTGCTCAAAAGTGAGGATGATCAAGCCCACTCCTGAGGGAGAAGATCAAACSTCCACACCCCACTTTAGGAGTGTGTGCCAGGTCACTACGGACCCACATACACTAGAGCAACAATACGAAGAAGCAGTTGAGAAAATTAAAAAGTCCTTCCTTGAGTTTCAGAGAGAGGGTAGCRGCTGGCAGTTGGAAGAGGTAAGGTTTCCTTCTGCATTGAGATTAAAAATTGGAAAACGTGCTCTTTTGCTGTGTAGGTACTCCACTTGGAATTGAATGGCGTGGCGTACACTCCACTTGAGGGAGCCAGCTATCTTCCTCTACCCAAAAGAATAAAAAACAAAAAAGCGGTGCTGAACATCCAAAATAAAGACCAGAAATGCTTCCTCTGGTCGATCTTGGCTGCCCTTCATCCAATTCACTGGAGAGACCAACCTCACCGTTTGAGTCATTACCTTCCCTTTGAAAGGGAGCTCAAAATGACGGGGATAGAGTTCCCCGTGAAMATCCATCAAGTGTGTAAAGTAGAGAGACTAAACCCCGGTCTCAGCCTTAACGTCTTTGGCTTTGAAAACGACGAACTTTTTCCTCTCTTCATCACCAAAGACAAAAAAGAAAACCACATAAACCTGTTGCTCTTTTCTCAAGGAAGCCAAAGGCATTATTGCCTCATTAGAGATCTAGATAGGCTGCTTCATAGTATGACAAATCATCATGGTCAAAAATACCACTGTGTCTACTGCCTGCATGGCTTTGTTCGAAAGGACCTTCTGGACGACCACGAACCCCATTGTGGGCGTCATGGTCCCCAAAAAATTCGACTGCCCGACGAAGAACATGCGACACTATCCTTCAAAGAAGTGCAAAAGCAGCTCAGAGTCCCGTTCATCCTGTATGCGGATTTTGAGTCCCTGTTGGTTGAATGCGATG